CTCTTCCGATCTGAAACGGCTGTGCAAATCACGCCACTGCACATCACCACCCTGAAATACCCGATGCCAGTAAGCCCATAATTCACAGTACACTGCAATACCGGATTAGCGTCATTTGGCCACGAACTCAACTGCCAGAAGAAGAATTGGAGAATTGGCCTGTCTGCCCGAAGTCGTGTTCTTCTTTCCTATATTTTGTGGGGTCAGTAGAACAAAATAAGTAGGACAGGCCAATTCTCCAATTCTTCTTCTGGCAGTTGAGTTCGTGGCCAAATGACGCTAATCCGGTATTGCAGTGTACTGTGAATTATGGGCTTACTGGCATCGGGTATTTCAGGGTGGTGATGTGCAGTGGCGTGATTTACACAGCCGCTTCAACATATCAATGGCAAAATTCCACCAAGGATCGAAAAGTCCATATATCTGGATGCCGGGAAACAAGACTTTTGTTGGATTCGAGAATCCTGAAAGCCTCCTCCATAAGGTGAGTTTCATGGGAAGTTTGGCCTGCAGAGCAACATCTCTGAAGGACCATTTCCGTTGCCTTTAGGGTCTGGGACCTCAGGCGCGTCGAAGTGCTAGAATTTCAGATCTAGCTGCTCTCGTGGAATCTTTTAGGGTGATGCAAAAGGTGTGAGAACCAAATTCAGATGAATTCAATAGGCAGTGCACACTTTGTGAGGTCACCATGCTTTTACAGCTCAGAAGATAAGCAAAGGCTCCCTGAAAGCTCCTCGGTGCATCGCAGTCTATTTCGCTGGGAATGATGAGGGTTAGGAGGATTAGAATCGGCGCGGCGCCAAAGCCCTATCCTATCTGTTGTTAAAGCGAACGAGCGGCAAAACGGTATCATATCTCCATGTATGATACGGACGATAAAGAAAGAAAGTAAGATGAAGAAATGAAAAAAGAGAAAAGTCCTGACTGGAAAGGCAATTTTATACGAAAGCATGCACCCCGATGTTTTATAACTTTGGAATCTACCGAATAGAATTACTATAGAGAAGCTACTTTCCTTATCGAGAACAAGTTCAAAACTCTACAGGTAGGCAACCATACTGCACACGAAGGCATAAGAATGACACAACCTGCACCATAGGCTGAGCAAAGATATTGGAAGTTCGTAAACAAGAAATATGTCGCATAGCGTAAGTATATTAGTCGATGGATATATTTGGCAGGTTTCAGATTGATTATATCACAGAAAATGATCTCGGAGGTGTGATGATATGGGCAATCGATTTCGACGATGATCAGCAAACAATGCTAAAAGTAGTGAAAGAGGTGCAGTTCCTTCTTTATTTCCATGTTCTGGAACTTTTGAGAAATAAGCAGAACTCTATGTAGTGAGGGGACTTATACAGGCCCAGTCCACCCAAGTTTCTCGTCTTTCATCCACATGACCCAGTTGAACCGTCGCAATCAGTCGGGACGAGGCATACGGACGAGGCATCCAGTGAGCCCACCATCTTCCACTGATCGTTCTATTTTCGAAGGCTGAGCCCGCATCCAAATTCGATGAGTTATGCGGATAGTTATAACAAGGTGGCAAGTAACCCATTAGTGAAGAAAAATCAAAAAGAAATCATAGGAAAGACCCTATTCAGAACTCCATGCTGAACTGAGGATGTACGTGCTTAAAGGCACGTTCCGCGATAACTAAGGCTAGGTTCTCATAACCGTGCACGATGGTCAAGCAGGCAACGTCAGAGGCTATGCTGCTTTTAAAAGTTGAAAAACAGCAAGCAAAACGCAGGGCGCTCAGGTTTTAGGCCCATTGGCGCCCGATAGGCCCATGCCGGCCTCCAGTGACCGTGTCGTTGTGAGACTGCCATTGCGCTCTCTCGCCCGTCGTTTTCTGGCCTCTCTCGTCTCTTATCAGTGTATCGCCGCCTTTCGCAATTCATAATTGATCTGGGTGTAGAGATCACGAGAGGTTCTGATCACGAGAGGTTACGAGAGGCTGCCATGTTTCGCCTCGTCGCGCGCGGCGATTGCTGCCGTGATTGGACGAGACCCATACAGTCGTGCGATTAAGATCCCGGTCCCTTCACATAGTTCTGGCATCACGCAAATCTGCTTGGCATTGCTAAGCCAAAATATTCAATGGGACGTCAATATTTTTGAATGGCAGCTGTATTTATTCAACGGACTGCTGTATTCCTTTAATACAACCTACTTTTTAACCTGGCCGCAATCTTAGGCCCTTTCAATACCTCACAATTGAGAGCAAAAGAAGGGTTCACCCCAATGTGAATTTTCGTAGATTGCTGATGTATTCTCTAAATATTATTTCTATGTAAATGGACTTTGTTTTATACTAATAGTTGAACATCGGGCCTACTCCTTTCATAGTTTTCACACCTGCAAGTAATAAAGCAGACTGTTGGAAATCTCATGGACTATGCAAACGCCGCGCACATAGCGAAAACTGCCGCGTCGCGGCGGCAGGTTGACCTCTCGTGGAGTCCTAACCGTTCCCCTGCAAAAGGCGACGATACAGTGACTGGAGAGGAGAGGGACCAGAAAACGGCCGGTGAGAGAGCACAGTGGCATCTTCACTATGACACGTTCGACGCAGGCCGGCATGGGCCTATTGGGTGCCAATGGGCCTAAAATCGATGCGTTTTGCTTTCTGGTTGCTAGTTTTCGACTTTTTTGTACAGTACAGCCTCTGCGGGTGCCTACCTGTTCACCCTGCACAATCCAGAGGTTTTAGCCTTAATTTATCCCGAACCGTGCCTTTAAGGCGAAGAGAACGCGGGGCCGCACGAGTTCTCACTTGTTGGTATCAGCTGTTTTCCCTTATCACCTCATTCTCACCATTCGAAGTGGAGAGAGTTAGTAGCAGAACAACCGCACCATCAGGCAACCATTAGAAATGAAGTTGGGCGTAGTGGTCGCCAGGTGGGCGGGGTGGCCGACTCTTCACGAGCGAGCGCCGCATTTTCTCGCGAAACTAGAACGTCCACCATCTTTATAGGGTGAGCTACGATATACATAGAGGGCGTGGAAACAACAAATGAACGTGAACGTTGCCTTTAAATCTTCTTCTTCGATCACCAACCAATCAATATTGGTAAAAGTGGCAGCCCGAGCGGGCTTATCCCACCCTTGCCAACGTCCTGACTGATCGCGTCGATATCAACTATGAACAAGTGAAGCCCCTGCAAGTCGTCGGCCTTCAGAATGCATCACTTGAAAAAAACGTAGTTATTTAAGGGTGATCTGTGCCAACGGAAGGCGAAAGATAAAGGAATGTCATACAAATGTTCTCCAATAGACGAACAGCGATGGTGGACTTATGATGATGGCGAGGTGAGCTCATCAATTGTGAACGTGTGAAAAGAGTGTTTTGAAGTAGACTCAAAATAAAACATTTTTGTTCGCCCCGTAAATCTATGGCTTCTTGTTCTTCCAGATTTCGGCTTTTCTCTAAACACCTCCTGAGACAAGTATAATACATAAGGCGAAACGGTTCAGTATGTATTTCGATACTTATCCCAGAACGTACTTCAAACGAAAGCCGAGCGTTTTTGCCCTCAAACAGCTAACTGACATTGTTAGAATCTTTCAGAATAAGCAAATTCCACAAGGAAGACCCGCATTGCAGGAAAAGCGCTAGTCACAGTCAAGTGTTGCCTCTATGAATCTTCTGCTCCCAATCCTTCTTCATTGGACGCTCGGCGATTAGCGGAAAATGCTTCACTAAGTTGGCTGCTAACTGGGTCAGTCGCCCGCTTGGCACTTATTCTGATGATGCGCGCTCTGGCCCAGGTTGACACTGTCGTCGTGATAATGTCGTTATGCTCTTTCCTTTTTCTTTCTGTTTTTTTTTCCTAGCTTAGTGGATGAAAGCATCATAACCCTTGACATCCAAAGCCCAGTATGAAGCCGGTGGCTCCATGAAAACTGCGACGTTATAGGATCTCGCCGGTATGTGCGGAAAGTCGGCACCACTCTACGACGGCTACTATCCTGTATGCGATCCCGACGATCCTGGTCATGCATGTTGTGGAAAAGTAATTTCTCATTTTACAATAAGGACTATCCTGTCGCTAAAATTTCCAAACCTCTCGATAATGAATCGTTTGTTTAGTATGGTTATTGCGGATCTGGACCAGAATTCTGCAGTTGTCCAGAATGTGTGGACTATGCGGCCGATCCGATGCTAATCCTGAAGGAACCTATCAAGCCATCTCAATCAAAAATCACATGGTAAATATGTGGTAATTCTTTGTGTGTCTTTCATTTCTTTACGTTTTAGTTTCTGGTTTTTCTGGATTTATCACAAGGCTAACTCTACTGTAGCTGTACTACTTGTCAGTCAGGCAGCCTTGAGACTTCGCACTGTAACGCGTCGTAACGCGCTTCGACGCGCTACAATTGTGGCGGCGTCTAAAGGTATAGACGAGTGAGCGTAGCAGCAGTCTGCATGACTAGGCAACACCTACCATCATATTCCCCTGCACTTTCTCGAAACATTGCCCATTTGTGATTCGTTCCTATTTGCTATTCAGCTATTCAGTTTATTGTTGAGGCTGGGTATTCAATCTTTCAGGTATACATCCGACGCTCCGGATGGGAAGCGCGGAAGATGTGGTCCACAAATACCACCAATTGACGGCACACCAGCAACCTGCAATCCAGATGATGAAAAAGCACACTGTTGCAGCAACGGTGGCTACTGTGGAAATACTAAGGTAAGCTAGATAACAAAGACACATATCTTCTGCTTTTTCTCCCGAATCGCCTCAATTTGGAACGAGTTAATCGCGTGCTTCCATCTCCTATAGTACCAAAGCTGAGCAATATGCCTTTTTCATAGTTCTGGATGTCCTCGGTGCGCACTATGGGCTCTGCGTTAGATGTCTCCATTTTTATAGGTTAACAGTGCTCTGTGTCGAAGCTTGCCCTTTTTTACCTACAGCCGCTGCTACAGACCCACTTGAATAGGCTTTTGGACCTGAATTAAATATTTACTTGCGATCATTTCCTATAGTGTATACAGTCAGTCCACACGTGAGTTTTGGCGTGGTGCCTTCCTTTTCCCCTTACTCACTGAAGCCGCAATGATCGAATCGGATGGCGCAGCGCCACAACCCACGCCTTGCTGATACAGGGCACATCGTTGTTGGGGAATCCCCAATAGGGGGGTCGTATTTGGCCGCCAGGAGAGGGGGGGTCGTATTGGGCTGGGAAAAATTTATTTTGATAGTTGATTTTTCTCGCTTCACGGACGTTGTAAATGTTGTGGGGGGGGTCGTATTTACGTTTTGGCCGTTTTGACATTGTAGGAGCAGTGGTTGATTTTTTTGTGATTTCCTTTTCTCGACAGCAATATTTTTGAGGAAAAGTAGGGAAGTTGTCGGGAAATTTTGAAGTGGCAGATAGTTGTGGAAAATCTGAGAATTGGTAGAAGGGGTGGCGGTGGGGGGAGGGGTCGTGGTCGTATTGTCTCGCGGCTTTTCCTGTTTCACATGTGCTATTACCCCCCCCCCCCCGCTCGACGGCTCGATTCGATGAGGAGGGAAAAAGAAGGCCAGAGGGGGGGGGGTCGTACGGACTCAACTAAAATCCCCAATGAATGGTGTGTGCTAAAATGCGTCAGCTGATTTCATTGATAATGACTGTCTGTAAGGTCGCCGGGCATGGATGACGCGCTGCAACCGCAGTGGGAGTGGGCGCATCCCTTAGCGGGTATTGGATTCCTGTTATGGCTTTGTTTAACAAAAAACATCAATAATAACTGCTCCCATCATGTTGGGAGCAGTTATTATTGATATTTTTGAGCAGAGGCTGCACGCCCAATCTGCAACGAAACTTCAAGGTCAGGACGCAGAAGATAAGGACTGTTTTAAGTGTCTTTAGTAGTATTCTTTGTAGAGTATACAGTATACTCTTGAGAACAGAAAAAAATAGAAAACAAGACATGAAAAATATAAGCGGATAAGTGTGTATTCAGCAGCATCTCTTCATCAGGAGTTTGTGCGAAGTTTCCTCATTGGAAGCGTTTGTAACAATCTGGTCTCACCCTGACCCTTATCCAGGAGCATTGTGAATGTCATGGCTGCGTGGACTTCTCGAAGACAAGAGACTTCAAGTACAAGCCAGTTGAATGGTGGACCTATGCAGAAAACCCGGCAAATGTTGGTACGTTGTTATCAAAATATAGAGCAGTAAACGCTGATCGAATTTCACCGGGAACGGCAAAAGTTCGATTCCGCTCAACACTGGAGGCATTTTCAATAAGAATTTCGGAGACGGGCAGGGTTATCTTGAGGCAAAGCCCGCGATCGTTGATAGTATATAATGGAACTCAGGTACGAACGATGAAGTACCAAGTAAATGAGTAGTGTAGAAAAAAACAGAAAAAAAACGTCCGGAATGCCCAATATAGGACCTCTTGCCGACCGTTTGTATTATACGAATTCTCACGTGATATTATCATGACGACATCAACTTTTTCCCTTATCACCTCACTCCTCATTTGGAATGGATTGCTAGCAAGGCTACCAAATAGCAGCTAGCCACTGGAAGGGGAGTGCAGTTGATTAGGCGGTTGAAGGGTTGCAGACGCGAGTGCAGCAGCGACCGCGTACGTAGGAACTGTTGGCGGCGATCAGCTGTTTCCGGCCTGGTTTAGTCATTTTCTCCCTATTTTTCACTGTTTTTGGCTGCTTTTTTTCCAAGGTTGGTTGTATCTTGTGTTCACAAGGTAAATTATTTTCAAGGCGTTGTCTGAATCGTTCAATAGCATTCAGGTAATTGTTGGTCGTTTTCCTTCTAATCCTTCTTGATTGGCTTTTTGTGTTCCTGTATCGCTAATGTGTTCCTGTCTATGTAATACACAAACACAGTTATGGAGGAGAATCCAACCAAAAAAAGGAGCAATGAGGAACAATTAAACAAATACCTAGAAAATCGCAAAAACACTTCATCGCAAAGCTATCACAACTATCATCCCGTCCGTGGTCCGACTTTTGCCCATAACTCAGCATTCTTGTGATAGCTTTCGGATCGCGTACTGCGGCGTTAAACAGCAGTTATCAAACAATAACTTGATCACAAAAACATCCAAGTCCTATTATACTTCATAAAGACAAAAAACAACCTTCCTTGAAAAAAAACCAGCAAATACAGTGAAAATTAGGGGGGAAATGGCTAAACCGGGCTAGAAACAGCTGATCGCTGCCAACTGTTCCTAGTGAAGCGGTCTCTGCAGCCGCGTCTGCGACCCCTCAACAGCCTAATCAACTGCCCAAATGATGACTGTATAGGCAGCCCTGGAACAACGATCTCATGCGCAACACGTTCGCGGTTCCTTCTCAGCCCGGACTTCCAGCTGACCGTAATAAAGTAAGAAATGACATGGATCTTGATGGTAGAAGTGATTCAATGGACGAGAAGGGCGGTCATATTGATAAATCCGAGCACCCATTATTTCGTGTTCATCCAAACACGTCCGTTAAAATTAGCTCTTGGGCAGCTCTTGCGACTTTTAGGGCTCGCATAATCCACGATCACGAAAAGATGCGCATAAATCTTTGAATTCGCAGCATACGTGTGATCCTTTGGTGTTCGGGACCACCTTCGTAGTGAAAACGAGCGTTAGTGAGGCTGGTTCATACATTGCTCTCATCGCGCGAGCAGGTGGCGGCGATCGCGCAGAGGGTTGGAAGTGTGCGATCCGCGTCAACAGATCGCTAGCGCCAATCACCCCGATCGCGCGGCCAGGAGCGCGCGCTAGTGGGGCAACTATAATTTCCGATCTGTGAACGCCCTTTAAAACGAGAGCTCCATGTAACGATTTCTGACTTTCTTGTTTCCTCGTTAAGAGAAGGTCACGTAATGCTTCTTTTTTCTGAAGCTGTTCAGTTTTATAACTGCTGTTTAACGCCGCATTGCGTACTCCAACAGTTATTTCTTCTTCTTTTTTCGTCCCTCAGCGTTACAGCATCTATCAAGAGCATCGACGTGTGCCCCTGGTCGACCAAACTAACAAGGCCTTGCGGAGTTTCTGTAACATTTTCAATGACACTTGCATGATAAAAATCAAAATCACTTGTAGGCCGATGTGGTCCTGATGCAGAACGTCTCCCATCTGGGAAAATCGCAAAATGTGATCCCACGGGAGAAGCGTACTGTTGCAGCCGATCTGGTTACTGTGGACGAGGCAGCGACTACTGCGAGTGCCTTGGCTGTGTGGATTTCAAGAAACATCCCGATCATGAATATTGAAACGCTACCTTTTCTCATTCTGTATTTATTTGTATTCTATCAATATATGCTACTGAGTATCTTCCAAGTGACGGAAATGATTTTATACTCTAGTATTGCGCGCTGCGTTGTGCCACGGCTGGGCACTGCTAACTGGTCCGAGGCAGCACACCTACTTCGAGGACTGAATTTCGCACTCAATTCCGCTCTGGCCAAAAGCGCTTCTAGTTGCTCGAAAATTGGTTTGTCGATATCGAAATCGCCAGCAAAAATGAAAAAGAGCAATTCGTTCAGTGGCTGGCTGTCACAGACACGGCGATTCATTAGGTTTTTTTTACTGAATTGATTTCCTCTTGAATGAGTAATCAGGTGGGCGCACTCTAAAACGGATCGAGCTCGAGTTGTTTTCACTTGAATGAGTTCAGTAGCATAAGATGTAATGCTGAACAAACATTAGGAAAGCAGTACGATAAGGGCGTCCTTACTAACAAGAAAATTACCGCCGTGCGGATAAGACTGCTGGTGGATGATTAACATGCGAAATCGAATGATAGCAGCACCAAGATGTTCTGAAACACTTCATTTATGATCAGTTTGTCATGCCGGCCGAGCGGTTCGACGGCGATCATCACAATGGCTCTTTTCGTTAGTTGCTTGACGTTCCCAGGAGTCTTTGAAAAAGCTCTACTACTGCATCCTATTGGTCACTTCCTCAACAAGATATGATTTTCAGGTATGTTTCGTCGTCGAATCGGAGAAACCTCGGCTCGAAGGTGGGTGAATAGCTATGAAATAACAGAGGCAATAATTTTTACTACAAAAATGCCTCGCGTGGCAATCGCTTTTGTTCAGTGATAAACGTGCGTCTATACGATGGGAATAGAACGCTATTACTTACTGCACACTTTCTCAAAACAGAACAACTCAAGAAGTTTTATGAAGTCGCAAAACAAAAGGCAATAAGTTTCACTTGTATCACTTATAAAGGTCAGCAAAGTTTGATTGCCAGCAACATTCTGATAGGCTATAGGTCGTCTAAAGCTATACTTCGCGACTACCTTGATCGGAGCAGTGGTTCGAGTGGATGTCCAAGGATAGCTCACTAATACTCCTTTTTTCTATAAATTAAATTATACTTCCTTTTCGCCTGTTTCTCCTTTCGATACGTTCTTCTTTCGACGGAATCGTTCAGGCAGCCTCCTGATTGACAGAATTATTATCGAGGTTGAGGTTGGGGGTTATGTGGCGTGACGATGGTAAGATATATTTCGGGAAAATTGGAATATTCTCAAATGGCTATCCTTTTACCACTTTCCCGAATCTGAAACATGGCTGCTGAAGGCAATTGAATGTGGTATTGCATGGATCCCAGGTCCATTACGACAGCTTCAGTAATGCTACCGATCAGTATTCCCTTTTTGATAGTGCCGATGGTTGCACCGTGTATGTGACAAGAGAATCGTGATTCACTGTCGTCTTCTGCACGAAAAAATGATGCTCTGATCGAAAGTGTATTGCAAATTAAGGAAAGGTCGCGCGCATCGCCGCACTACGTCGCAGCGGCAACTTACGATTCTCTTGCCCGTCTCCCAGGACGTAAGGTAAACGGCAAAATCGCACTTGAGCATCCGGCGCGGGTCCCGGCACGATTACCCTGAAGATGCTGCGCGCGCTCATACGATCGCACAACCGCGAAGTATGAAAGCGCTCGTATTTTGCATAATCGAAATCAGGCGCGCACCTGACGAAGTTCAAAGGAAGCAAAATAGATGTTTCAATTCGAAACGCTTTGAATGACTTGCACAATGCTGGCTATTACAATGTACCAGTCGGATCACCCGGCTGCCGCCGGGCCGACCTGGCTTCGCCAGGCACTCCTCCCTCGGGCGTGGTAGAATGCGCTAAATGTGCCAAACGGTGGCGGTTATTTTTTTAATAAAATGTAGGAAAATGAGTTGAAAAAGCCGAACATCAGTCATTATCTACCATATGGTCCCTCTTGGTTACTACAGGCTTTCAACCGTGGGAAGGCTGAGCCATATCATCAAGGATGGCAGTTGCGACATCAGAATGGGTAAAGTTGAATTAGTTCCGGATGAGTCCTTAACACCCGGAAGAGGCATAACTGCAGAGTCATGGGTGGCACTGAAAAGGAGAACTTCACATTGCCTTGTACATGTCAAAGTACGTGTCACACGGAGAGCTCGAATGTCACCACCGATGAAACGTCCCCACTCCCAGTTGTTGGGTTCCTTCCTTATTTTGCTTCAATTGCGAACTTCACCACCTAACACATCGTTGCACATCATATAACAGGCAGATTTCCGAAAAATTTTTGATTGATATGAATTTCTCGATTTCCCGTTTCAGCCGCACTATATACCCCCCTCCCCCCCCCCCGCTCGACACTATTTCACGCATTTAACAACGCTCTACGTCGAAGCATATCGAAGGAAAGTCCTCACACATTGAGCCTCTAATACTCGGCATTAAAGCGGTAAGGTAACCTGCCACCCGTCATCAATGTCCTTATCACTAAATCCTTATAATTTGGTAATGTAAAAGCTGCACCGCCTTGAACAGCGACGACGACTGAACGTCTCTTATCAGCCCCTATCAGTTGTTATCGCTTCCAGCCACCCACGGTTGTTGTCCCCACTCACCCTAGATATCTTTGCTGAAATGAACGCCTCGCTGAGGCTGTCACCCGCGTTATGAATATGGTGACCTTCCCCTTCTGAAGCCCCTTATCGAATCTTATCAGCAGCTCGCAGTTCTTGTCACCCAAAAATAATGTTCTTGGCCCGTACTCCACATCATATCTTGGAATCAAGAGCTAGCTGTAACCACCCATTCAAGAGTGAAGTGAACAATTTTGATTCCAGTGTGTGTAATCACTTTTCAGATGTCAATCACTGTAAGGAATGTAGAAAGTCTCGCCATACTCAACCAACTTGATGGGGTCAAATCCAAAAGCTGGCCAAAATGCTTCACCAGAACGGCTCCACTGAGTCAACCGGGAATTATCTGCAACCCGTTGAAAGTTCAAGGAATATCAGTGCGTACACCTCCTGCCACCGTTTTCCCAGACAGGGTACTTTGACAGGAGGTGATCAAGAGCGTATAAAGGTGCCCTATGCTTCGCATTGCTGGAGGCGCACTGTATATATCACTCACAAAATGCCACATTCTAATGTGGCATGTAACTGCAGGACCCGCAAAATGAACGTGCCAAATTGCTTGAATTGCTACGACATTGATGAAGTGTACAGGAGCTGTTTCCAACTGCTCTCTACAGATCTTGAAGAAGCCATTTCGAGCGCAGAATGCTTAAAGTTAAGGAAGCGGGTAGACTTTAGAGGAAATGTCCCCACGTTGATAGGCGAGGTGAATAGAAGGCGTCTGCTCCTCCTTACAGGACTTTACCTCCAGTTCAACGGAAATTTAGTGGGAAACGCCACATCATCAACATTATTATACAAGATTCGATGCTTTTGTGAGTATAGTGTGATATTCCCATGTTGAGTTCATAGTAGTCAACTTAAGATGTTACTCGCTGGTGACGATAGTTGACCATGATGCCCTAGTGCCGAAACCGCGCCGCGACCGCCGCTCACAAAGGCCGGATGCTGAAGTGCGATTTTGCCGTTTACCGTCGCCTGTCTCCCGGTTGCACCACCGCCGCACATCGATTACTACCACCATAACCAACTCAACCGATCAAAACGGAGGGCAGAGTACTATTTCTGATCGGAAATGTCCCGCTGGGAATGGCTTATCATCTTATCGGCAAGAAAAATTACGTTATTACGCCACAGCCAACAAGCGCTACCGGGTCTGCAGTCACGAAGTTCTCGTCACATGAAATAAGTCAGCAAAGGGCGTCTCTGCGTACTACCAAGAAGAAGGGTCTGTTCCGTCACGAGGAAAAAAGTTCTTATATCTGGTTTTTCCCATTTGCATGTTCATAACAGTGACAGACTTGAAGTAATGTAGAATGAGTTAGCTCCGTCCGTTTCTCTGAAATTTCATGGCTTAGGCAGCGTTCAGACTTCGCGACGGTAGTGCTTCAATCGCGCGTTGGACGAGATCGAGGCGCATGCTCTTGACTACATAGATCGCGTCAAGCGCTCGAATCGAACCGAAGCGCTGCCGCCGCGAAGTCTGAAAGCTGCCTTACACCTAAAAGGATCCCACTCTTTCGTATTTCGTACACGCTTTTATGTATAGGATGTGTCATGCCCGTCATTATGCACAAATGTTTCAGGTTTTAATCTCCGTGGCGATTTTACATTTGAAGCTTTTGGAATATTGCAGGAGAAAGAAAACTTTAGAGCAGAGCTTTCTAATTGTAAGGGTTTCTTAGTTACTCTCCCATGTGATGTGTGTGTAGTAACGGACCCGTTTATCATTACCCTACCTCCACCTTCAATCACAAAGGTAGTTGTGAGAGTCCAAGCAGATCTATCGACGTATTCTGAACCAATGCAACGTCTCTTCGTCTAGGAAGCTGCATACAGGGGGGGGGGGCAAGAAAAAAAGTCACTTTTCTTCATTGACTTTCGTGGCGCTATAAGTTACACTTTATAAATTCTAATCGGACATTTCTACCACCATATTAAAGAGCATATTAAATACTATTATAAAACTCCGCCACAGCCTTCTGGACGAGCGCCATCGAGAGATTCTGGCACGCAACCGCGATGTGGTGCCTGAGATCAGCGAGATAGTCGATTTCTCCGCCACCGTAGACCACCCTATTGAACTCCGCCCGAACCGGGTAATTGAGGGGATTCAGGTCAGGTGACCTACTTATATTCCATCTTCTTTAGGTACTCAGCCCCCTTCCATTCCAAGTAGGCGAGAGTTTCTCCAACGCCCTTCGATTCCACGTGGTGGCACCCAATGCTGTAGCAGTACAAAGTTTCCAAGAAGGTACGGGCGACGACATGTGGGGAGGATATTCTTCTCGAGTTGCTCGATGTAACCGCCAGCGCTCACCTTCAGTCCGGGGTCCACGA